GAAAATGGTTATGTACTATGTACAAGCATATAAGCAAAGGATAATGACTTTCGACAAGAGAACCATTTATCATGTTTATTTGTTACTCTGTATTTTTTTAACTTACAGAGAATCGAATCCAGGACACCTGTCTAATGACAGGCGCACCAATACACTACCCACAACACTACAAATGGTAGTTAAAAGTTACTGTGCTGCATTTTGTGCAATAGCTTTAAAACAGATTTTTCTAAATTTTCAGCATATGTGTGTATTAATTATTTAAGGAAATATATTTTTTCATGCTGCATCAATGTCCTTTTCTACTTGAACATGTTGAATGAAATATTCTGTTTGTTTTTTTTATCAAATTAAGAATTATTCAATGTTTCAGTGCAAGGATATACCAAATTATAACAGAACATTTATATATGTGCAGTAATTGTTTTATCTATGATATATACAGGTCCAGCACAATACCCCGATGAAGGTATATAGCTTGATAAAGCTATATAGCTTAATCAAGGTATTTAAAATACCTTGATCAAAGGTATTTAAAATACCTTGATCAAAGGTATTTAAAATACCTTGATCAAGGTATTTTATGTACTGAAAATTCTTTAAAAATTCTTTAAAAATTAATTACTGAAAGTCAAGTTCTGAGTTTTTTGTCAGTAAATTCACCCTTGCATGTAAAGTACTCAAACACAAACAAATCAGTAGTAAAACGTGTCGTGTGAGGAGACGTTATTTTAAGCCTTCTTTTTGATACCAGAGTGTTTTTCATGCACGAATAGACAAACTGACAAAAACTCAGAACTCGACTTTCAGTAATTAATTTTTAAATTTTTTTTTTTTATTTTCATTACATAGAATACCTTGATCAAGGTATTTTAAATACCTTGATAAAGCTATATAGCTTTATCAAGCTATATACCTTTATCGGGGTATTGTGCTGGGCCTGATATACATTAAAAAAAATGTTTTCAACAATTTGTTTTCAAATCCTTAGTCAATCCCCAGAGGACGATTTTCGAGGACGGTATTTCAATTCAAAAATCGAGAAGAGAAAAACGACATTTAAAAATCGGAATATTGAATCAAAGCAGTTAGGTACCTGAATACTTGAGCCGTGGTTGAATTTCGAAAATGGTTATGTACTAAGCCTTAGTATGTCCAAACATATAAGCAAACGATTACGACTTTCGACAAGAGAACCATTTATTTGTTACTCTGTATTTCTTCAACTTACAGAGACAAAAAACGACCCGATTGTCGAAGTCTTTTAGTTATCTTGTACTCGAGACAATCTCCCATCCATGCCATCTTTGTTGTACCTTCGGTTTGATGAATCATCTAAATTTAAACTCTCCTTCGATCATGCATCCCGGAAATAACTGAACATCGTATTTTTTATGCCTTTTATTTGAAAATAAATGTACCTTTCTTTTCACAGTAAGTGAAATCGACGTCAGGCATTTTTGATGGAATAAACGTCGGGCGCGTTTGACGTAATAACGTCACTGACGAGAATAACGTCAGATAGCGTTATTTCGCGTGGTATGGATCTTTACCTTAAGTAATGGTAAACATTTCAAAAATCTGAGATTCTGACTGTTACCTGTATATTTCTGATAGATATACTAAAATTGTGTAAATCATATCAAGTGTCGCTTATATCGAAATTGCTTGTCAATGATATTAAATAAGTCAAATCCTATTATCAAGCACTACAATTTAATGATTTTTTGTGATAAATGTGTATGTGGGTATAGGTGTTGTAATGCAAGATAACTCCTAAAAGATCGAAAACAACAACATCAACACAACAGAAGACTCAAAAGAACTTGGAATAGCAGAAATATTTTCTCTATTTAACTTGGTAAACAATAGTGATATTGGTATTTAACGCATCATCTACATCATTTCTTGTTTCATTCTTATGAAAGACATGTGTTCTCTTGTATAACCACAACAAGTAATTCATATATAATTTCCAAATATGGTTACAGTACTTTATTTTAAGCATTGCAAATTTTACAAATAAAATTATTTCCGACTCAAGGTGTACATTTTTGTTACAACGTTTGGTAACACTTTCTATCGTCGCCATGGTCTCAATTTGTTTTCGAATAGATATGGTACCTCCCATATTTTATGCCTCTCATGTCCATGGCATTTATCACAAAAATTAACCTCACAGTCCTCACAGTACTGCCTGCATTGTCTTTTGTCGTGATGGTGACATCGTGGGTAGGCAGAAAGTCTTTGTTTGAGTGGTACAGCATTGTGGCTTTTAGACGAATCTGCAAAATGTTTTCCAAGACACGCCGTGCAGAATTTGACGTTACAAAAAACACATTGTCGTTCTGCCTTCATAACCTCGCACAAATCACAGGGTTGAACATCTTCTCCGTACCTTAGGGCCATATTAATTCTGATGTTACTTCAGATAAATCGCATTCTGCGTGAAGAGAAATTAACAAAATAAATAAAGATTGCTGTGTGACATTGACGATCTTCAATGATTGTAAGTGAAAAAAACGTATCCCAAATATACCAATTGTTTAAATGAGAGAAGCTTAATGTACTCCGATATACAGGTTCTGAAAATCAGGGATTAACTTAATTATATATTGAACGTGCTCAAAAAGTCTCTGAATTCTCCAAATAAGTATATTTTTTTATCCACAACAATTAATTCTTCAAGCTTCTTCTTGTGAGTTAATTATATTTATAAAAAATAAGAAAAAAAAAGTAAATCTCAAATAATTTTTCAGGAAATGCGAAGAAAAACACCTAAGTACTATGCATTATCCAATTCAAATTTGATCAACAAACAATTTTAAAAAACTAAAGGTCATAGGCATCAAGGCTTTTGGAAAAATTGCACATTTTTAATACAGTCATACAAGGTGCTAAAAATTAAGGACATTCTATTATTCAACGCCTGGTTTTCAGAATGTTACCTGAGGATAGGACAACGAATTTGGCACAGCATCAAGGGGGGCAAAAACCTGTTCTCCCACGAAGCATAATTTCATGTTATCGTTAAATACGAAATTTAAAACTTTTTTAAAGAAATGAATGCATGTGGAACTGAAAATAAAACTCAAAGTCTAATTAAATAAAGAAAGAAATGAAAAAGGACTAACCATCTTTGAAGCTGTGAGCGAGACATGCAGCCGCCGGACTTCCTGGTCCACAGTATTTTTATGTCCAACTCAAACAAGTTTATGTGTTTTATGAATATATGTACATGTATCATAAACTTAAGGTTGATTTTTGGCATTTAAATGGGTATCTATATATCTATTTAAACTGTTATTCCACCGTTATTTCCCTGTTAAGGTTACTGATATGCTGTCATATATAGATTAATCGATAAAATTTAACAGATAAAAGATAAATCATGTTGTCAGAAATTCAAAATTTTAATGGAATTTTAAAACATTCATATGATTAAACAATTAGGCTTATTATTTCCCTAACCAGAAACATTCCTTAATTTAAAAAGTTTAAATGCCCCTTAAGAATATGCCTGGAGTTTTGTTTCCTCGCATAAAGTCAAACTGACGTAACATGCTGAACACAAAAAGAAAAAAGAAAACAAACAAAATTCATTTATGCCTTTGGAGTTACATTAAAATAATATAAATGAAAATTATGATAAATACATAATAAATAAATAAATAAATAAATAAATAAATAAATAAATAAATAAATAAATAAATAAATAAATAAATAAATAAATAAATAAATAAATAAATAAATGAATGAATGAATGAATGAATGTGTAACGGGAACCAGTTTGTCTATGGCCGCAAAGTGTACTCAATCTGCCCAAAGTATGCAAAATTATCTTTAAACTCTACTAAGTAATACTAAGGAACAGAACAAGCCCACTAACTATGTAAAGGTACAATAACTGGTCCTGTTTTATTCAACCCAGGTTCTGAGATTCCTAGATTATGATCAACACCTTGAAATAAGAAGAAAGTTTAAATTTTAACAATTAATTTATTATGGTGAAATTCTGAATATTTTGTAGTTGATAACAAATAACAAATAAGTTTCCAAAATAACCTCAAAATGTAAACAAAAAAAATGAGGTAGAAAAATAAATTAATAACACTGTCTAAATAAATAATAACAAAGTAAATATAATTTGATAACAATTAAAAATATAATGGGAGAAAATGAGTGTGATGCCCTAAGAAAAATCTACCAAAATAGATGGGAGTGAGCTTCCATACACCTAAGAGATTTTATGATTCCATACAACACCCTAAAAATTATAGTGAGACTCTATGCAAGTAGACTGAAAATTTCCTAAAGCCCTATTTATTACACAAGGGAAACGGCAATTTAGTTATTATAAATAACACTATAATTAAAGGCCTAGGGATATCTAATTCATCCTTGAACCAAAGTGACTCTAGAGCTAAGGACCTTATTACATTTTACAGAATTTAGACAGTGTCCTAAACAAAAAAAAAATAAGACTGCACGAGCAGTCCGGGATTAAACCCTAAGAGCTAAGAAGAGTAAGCTTGAACCTGTGGGTTCTTTAGCCTAGAGTGACTTGAAAATGCCGCTGTCACGGTTTATATATAAACTCTGACCAATGAAAAGCATTCTAACTAACTATCTCTAGAATTGTAATGCGAATATCTAAAACAACTTCTGATATGTTCAGTATAACAAATTTCAACCAATGAAAAGTCAGGAAACAAAATAAGTTTGGAACGACAGCCAAAATGGAGGTAAATTTAACCTGAGCACATGTGTAAACAAATAAAATTACAAAGTTACAAATACAGGACTTTTAACATCAGCTTTGCCTATCGGAAAATGTTAAAAGGTATTTAAATGCACTAAATATTCTGTGTATGACAAATTAAATGTACTGTAAAAAAACCAAAACCGTCACAGATGAATGAATGAATGAATGAATGAATGAATGAAAAAGATTGACATTTGTCAACTGGCTGCTACGAACTAATTTTCTTGAATCTCCAAAACAATTTGATCGGGATCGGTGACCAAATATTTAAATATGGCGGCCGGTGGCATGGCGGTAAATTCAGGTAAAATTATTTTCTCTCTGAACCATTTATCTGTGTATAAATTGCATTTTTATATACTTGATGTGTTTTAAAAAAGGCAACTGACAATTAGTATATATCATGTATGGGTGCCAGTTTGTTAAAACAAATTTTACTTCTAGTAAGAATTTCCTCCATGGCAGAGTGAAATTTTGCTTTTCCAGTATCAAAATAGATTTCAAACGGCGGCATAATTTATGTGAATAATGATGTACATTATTAAAAGATGAGACGATAACTTATGTTGAATTCATTTCTGAAACTATAATACAAGATGCTCTTTTTATTTTCAAGGCTCAATGCACACATAACTCACAAAAATATTTTATTATGTCTGATGAAAAGGAATAATGGGATATATTGCTGGAATGGTGTGAGAAAAAAAACTGAGCTGATAAAAATACAATTTTTTTTTAAAGTAATCAATTTCATATTTTTCTAAAACCCATAATTCAAAGGAAAAATGTAAAATCAGTTCATTTTCAACTACTTTCACTTTGTAACACATTCACACATGCAAGATGTATTAATATACAACATTAAATGTAAAGTTGCAATATAACCTATGATGTGGTCTGTTTTTTTTAATGTTATAAATAATTTACATAAAGTACATAAGATTTTTAGTCATTTATCACACATTTCATTTGTTTATAGATAGTTTTCAGTAGACCCCAATTATTTTCCATTATTTGCCATATTAGGGGTCAATATGCTCATATTCCTTGTTTATTCAACTAACTTAAACTTTTTATACTGGCAATTGTGTTGTAGGAAGCATTGTTTTTCTGACAAAATATAAATTTGCTAAAGCCTCTTTTATTTTATAGTTTTTATTCCATAAAGATTTCTCCCCAAATATTTCTGCTACACCTTCTTATATTTGGTAAGACAAAGAGGGAAAGTTACAAGGTTAACCCTCAAAATGGTGGCCAACAGAAAATAACTCTTAATAATTTGGGTCTACTAAAAACTATCTATTACCATAATCAAGGATAATGTTATGCTTGTATTTTCAAATTTTGACAACTATTGTAGAGGCCAGGTTATGGGGCCCATTCAAAGAACTGGAGCAGACCGTCCACACAGCCATACACAGAAAGATTCCAGATGCCATTCACGACCTAGAAATAGCTCTCAAGAAACATAAGCCAGATTTCATCGCTTTGTTAAAGAACCCAGTACGTTTTACTTTTTGACTGACTCCATTGTCTGAAAAAATTCTGTGAACAATTTAACTTAGGAATTAAGATTGTTTGTATACACATCCTCATAAAGTTTATATGCAGACTTTGATGGGTTCTCAAAGTTTGGTTATTATCATGATTATATTTAAACATTTTCAATTTTTTCTGATATTTATGGTTAAATTGGTGAATTTAAGTGGGGAAATTAAAAAAGTGAATCACTCCCACACTTGCATTATTACAGAAATCCAAAGGCTAATTTGCATCTAATTTGCTCCCAATTTTTCCTGTTTTTCAAAGCTATAATGAATATTTTTTATTTATCAATAACTTCGGAGATTATTGGTAAATAAAAATTTAAAGGTTTTTTGTGTGTATTTGTATCAATTATAGAGTGAGGGGAGGGAGTTATACTTTACATTGAGATGAAAAATATAGAATAGCTTTACATGATATGGTTCTCGAGAGTAATTGAAAATTGGTGCATTTCAGTAGCTTTATTCACAATGCACTTGACTACAATACAGTGATAATGACATTTATTATATACCCATCAATTTCTTTGTTTTTGTTACTGTTAATTTTACAGAGTTTGATTCGATATTCCGGATCACCATACTGTGGTTTTCTGAATCCATATCACCACTCTCTGAAACTGATGACGTAGTACGCAAAAACATAATATTATTTTTCTTTCGCGTTAAAAAGTCCCCAGTTATTATGCTTTGTTTTATGGATAAATGTTATACAATTGATCTCTAAAGTTTTATTCTGCTATATTTAGCTAGTAATAAGGGGGGTATATAATAAATGTATCATTATAACAGTAACTTGATCCGAAGAGCCGTATCACGTCTCGTTGACAGGCGCGGATCATCAGATCACACTCGTCGCTTCGCGTCTCGCGAGATCTGATGATCCGCGCCTGTCAACTCGATGTGATACGACCCTTCGGATCAAGTTACTGTTATCATACTTGTTAACTCTCCCGATTTAGGTGGGAGTCTACCGCTTTTTCACTCCATCTCCCGCCTACCGATTTAATTCAGAAATCTACCGCTTTTCTACAAAAGCTGTGTCTAAAGTATTTTGGTTCGCTTGGGTATCCATTTTTGAAGCCACTCTCATAAAATCTCGCTAGATATCGCGTGATTTGACTCGAATCATACAAACGCTTTTTTAGTACATAGATTTCAAGCACAGATTTGACAACGACAACAACATAAGACTACCAGTGATTACATTGGTTACGATAAAATAATCAACATTCCTCCCATGAAAAAGGAGATGCAGCTTTTAAGAATTAGATGAAAACATTTGACATCGTCTTTAAAAGCACCGAAGCTCACAACTTTATCAATAAAGTCAATAGAAATCACTCGATTGACCAAGCCATGTGGCACATCTCTACTTTCGTTTTCTATCATCGCAGGAAATCTGATTTATATAACAAAAGATACGAACTTGTTTTAGATCTAAATTAAACCATGCCATCATTTGTTTTGTTTAAAAACTGAATGACCATTCAGAATTATTGCTTCTAGGCTATTTCAGCAAAGATCACTCTTCAAAAGGCTAATAGTAAAGCAGCCAATCCAAGCAAAATGATGAGCATGAAAAATATTTGAATTTGTACAATTTATGTCAAACTTAAGGTGTTTCTGTCTTCTTATTGCTGTTGATATTTAAGATTAATTAGTGTAGGTACCTGATTTCATTTAAGGCTTATAATATACATGTATATTACATAAAAGATATGGATAATCCAAGCTTTAAACAACACGCACAATGCTACCGCTTTTGAGGTCTGAATCTCCCTCTTTTTCATCACAATAGGTTAAAATATATGCTGTTATAATAATATATATAAAGAATATGTTGATCCATTATCTAATATGTACAGTCATGAAATATATTTGTGACATGACCCGGTGAGTTTTCCTTTGAAGTCAAGCATACTGTAACTGCAATACAGAACACTTTTGGTGGGCGTTTCTTATGCAAATGAACAGAAACTGTACTGTATCTGCAAAATATCAACGATACAGTACGGTTTATTTTTAGCAATGAGGGAAAGCTGAATCTGTGTATAAACACAAGAATCGTTCAATTCCCATGAAAACACTCTTAGTATTTACTCAAAATTTGAGGTGAATTAAGAATAAAATTTTACAACGTAAAGTTATTAGTGTGGAATTCAAAAATTTTAGAAAGGAGGGAGTGGGACAGTTCACAAATGATTACTATGCCCCCCCCCCCCAAAAAAAAATAAGTGGAAACTCGTATATTACACTCGGGGAGGGGGTAGATTTATAGCCAACCAAGACACTATGTGGTGCTATCGTTTCTTGTTGATAAATTAAAAAGCGTATGTATACAAGTTTAGCAAAATATTAAATCATTTACGAAGGCGAAAAAAAAAAACTCTCAGGAGGGTTGAGTAGGGGCACCAGTAAGTGCTGGGATACCCTTTGGTTACTCTACATTTTATTAAAACATGAAGGTAAAATACCCCCCCCCCCCCCCGCTTTCATTTCATCTGTTTATTTCAATTTTTTTTATATAACGACAGGTGTAGGACATTGTCGGACATTTCTCTCAGAATACGTTTTCCCGGAAGTATTTTTGTTTCAGAAACATCCCCACATGATTCTTAAATATTAAAATGTTTTGCATTAAATCGTAGCTTGAAATATAAAAAATAAACGAAGTCGGCAACAGCTGAATAGAGAAAAAAACCTAAGCAATCAAATTTAAATTTATTTTTTGGAAAACAAATTATTTAATGCATCCCCATAATAATTATTTTAAAATGATAAATACCTGCACGTCCGCCTCACTCGGCATTTCAGTTGCGAATGCTTAAAATGGGATACTAAATCAACTTTCTGTAAAAATCATCTGATTGGTTGAGAGATATGTACCAAAATATGGCGAGGTCATTAAAAAGGTCATGTCACAAGTCATTTAGAGTACTCGTTTCCTACTGTATCAGAGATACAGGGCGGGGCCCGGCTCGAGCTATCGCTCTCGCCTCAAGCCCCGCCCTGTATCTCTGATACAGTAAGAAACTCGTACTCTAAATATTACTTACAGCCCAAGAATGCCATGTACAGGACAGCAGTCCGAAACTCCTCGAAGGAGGGGCTACCAGTCATGGGGGACCAAAGTAAACAGACATTCTCCCAGCAGTTTATAGAGGAAGCCCTGATACTCAGTGACCTGTTTGATATGAGTGAAATCGCAGCCGTAGAACTCCTAATGGCAGGTAAGATCACTAAGATGTCATATAGATTAAGAAGACCAGGCTTCAGGGCGATAAAACTCAGAGAAGCTCACTTTTGATCCCAATCTCACTTTTCCACCGTATATTTCTTTTGTAAAATTAAGACTGAGATCAACAGTAAGCTCCTCTAAGACAAATTGATTATTTTGTTACTTATAAAAACGGGCATCTTCCACCTTTGAACACGTGTCCTGAATAAGTTGATGATCACAATTGATAATTTATCAACAGTCACTCGGTTGATTTTTTTATTGTGGGGACAACAAAAAGATTTTTTATACATACCTATATACACATTGATTGTAAATATCTTGATTATTCTGCCTAATGTGGACTTTTGCTCAAAGCTTAAATGTAGGAACTGTATAAACAATAAAGAAATATCTGTATTAGCGCACAAATATCATTATATAGTGTCCATTCCCTTGTTCATTCTGGTCGTTAAAATATAAAAATTATACTTCTTAAAGTTTGAAATAGCCACATTTCGAAGAATAATCAGGTGTCATGACATATCTTTATTCTTCTACGTCATTTGACTCTATTTTGTCTCGAAAGGGGGGCCAGGAGAACACTGCATGAAAAAATAATCCCTATTTCTATAGGATATGCTGCCACCCCGCAAGGCACGGGAACCGCCACCCCGATCGTCGCATAGAGTTTGAAGCCTAAATTGGCTTAATTAGTAAAATATATTGACTTATAAAGAGTAATTGAAGTTAATTTCTGTCGTATTATTTTATTGATGTTGAAAAAATCAGAGAAAACCCCCTCTGATGTCAATTTTGAAACAGAATATTGTGTCAAATGTCGAAAGCGTTGATACCTCGAAAAGTGAGGAGGAGTGTTTGAGAAAACGGAGCAGTCTTATGGGTTGCTTTAAACGGTAAGAGGTAGATTAATATTTGCTCTCTTCCGTAGAATACAATTTTCGGATCTAACTCGTCTAAACATTTGAAAAAATTGACATTTACTTACCGTGTTGATCTTTTCGCCGCTTCGACGCCGCCACCCCGAGTTGCGCCCCACCGCCACCCCGAATGCACCGTTCTAACCGGTGAAATTTTAGACAATGGGTGACTCTGTTGAGCAATACCGTGCTGCAATTGGTCTTTTTTATTTATCCTGTAGAGGTGTATGCAAGTCTTACTCATTCCATATCTCGTTTTGTGAATTTTTATTGCGCGTTCTTTATAGTATGATCAAAACATTACTTAGAAGTTCGACAAGGTTTACAAAAAACTTAGTGTATATCAACTTTTACTTGCAGTTGTTTACGTTTATATTATTAGCCTGTGGTGATATTGAGGTCAATCCAGGACCCACTATCGAAAGTGTCCTTGACATTTTGCATCTAAATATTCGCAGTATAAGAAACAAATTAGGTTATTTGAACTCATTCGTCCATGACTTTGATATATTGTGTTTTACTGAGACCCATCTTGACCATACCATATCGAATGATAATCTATTATTAGATGGTTTTAGTAATATAATACGAAAAGATAGAAATTGTTTTGGGGGAGGTGTTATGATATATTTTTCAAATCAGATACATGTAACAAGACGCCAAGAATATGAACCTGCAAATTTAGAGTGTATTTGGTTAGAAATCGAAAACCGTACCTGTAAATACTATCTCTGCTGTATTTATCGACCTCCAAACGCTGATGCCAGTTTCTGGACTAAACTTTCATGGAGTTTAGATAAAGTAGGAGAATCCTCGAGTAAAATCATACTTGTTGGTGATATAAATGTAGATTTGTTAAATACTCCTCGAACACACATAATACGAGAAATAGTTTCAAATTCCAATCTTGTCAATAACATCCACGTACCAACGAGAATTTCTAACAATACACGCACGCTTCTTGACCCAGTTTTCACTTCAGCTGATATTCAGGTACATGATTCGGGTGTCCTTGAAATTGACCCAGCTTTTAGTGATCACAAAGCAACTTATATTGCACTAGCCTCGAATATAAATTACAATCGCGCTTACGAAAGAAAAGTATCGGATTATAAGAGTGGTGACTTTGACAAATTAAATTCCTTAATACAAAATTGTGATTGGGATAAATATATCAATGATGCCGACAATATAGACGCGGCTACTGACAATTTTTCAAACAAATTTCTCTCTTGTGTTAGACAATCTTTCTGTGAAAAAACAATTACTATTCGTCCACGAGATAAACCTTGGATGGACTCCATTCTGCGCAAAACTCTAAGACTTAGAAATAGATTACGAAATAAAGCATTAAGAACGAAGAAAGATTCGGATTGGGCTGAATTCAAAAAAGTTCGGAATACGTTCAATAACATGAAAAAATACGCTATAGCTAATTACTATGACAATATAGAAATGCACCTAGTAGACGCAAACAAAAACAACAACAAATTATATTGGAAACTAATGAAGGACGCATTTAATGTTAAATCATCCAATGATATCCCTCCATTACAAATTACTACCGATAATGGAAAAAATAGCTTAGCCTTTTCTGATCAAGATAAAATTGAAGCACTCAACAGTTATTTTTCATCCATCTCGTGTATTGATGATAAAAAACCATAGTCTACCACAAATCTACTCTTCATGTAGTGATAATCTTAGTAATATCATAATTAATGAACAAGAGGTAGTTGACATTATTTCAATAATTCCTGTTAATAAAGCCACAGGTCCCGACTGCATCAGTCACAAAATGCTTAAAAATACCGTTTCTACTGTTTCAAAACCATTGACTATGTTATTTAATAAATCACTGTCAGAGAATGTTTTCCCGTCCATGTGGAAAGTAGCTCATGTATTACCTCTCTTTAAAAAGGATGATCCGTCTTTAGTGTCTAACTATAGGCCTGTGTCGTTGTTAAGCTGCGTTAGCAAAATTATGGAGAGAATTATTTTCAAACACGTGTATAATTATTTTCATTATAATAATTTATTTTATCGATATCAGGCGGGTTTTTTACCTGGTCACTCTACAGTGTACCAACTTCTAGAAACTTATCATAGCATTGTGCAAAGTATAGACGAAGGCAAATCGTGTTGTATGGTTTTTTGCGATCTATCTAAAGCATTCGACAGAGTATGGCACAAGGGTCTTCTTTTCAAATTACAAACGTACGGAATATCTGGTGATCTTTTACTGTGGTTTACAAGTTACTTGAGAAATAGATCACAAAAAGTTATGTATAAAGATTTGCTATCATCCAACCTCAATATATATGCAGGTGTGCCTCAAGGCTCAGTTCTAGGTCCTCTTTTATTTTTGATATATATTAATGATGTTGCTGAAAATATGCTTACAATGTGTAGATTATTTGCTGATGACAATTCACTGCAACATGCATCATATAATGTACTAGATATAGAATACAGGTTAAACCACGATCTTGATGTTTTAGACAAATGGTCGAGTACATGGCTTTTAAGATTCAATCCAGCAAAAACAAAGGTTGTATTTTTTTCTTTAAAACATAGACCTGTTTTACCTAACTTGTATTTTCAAGGTAATGCACTGGAGTTTGTATCGGCGCATCGCCATTTGGGTATATTGTTGTCACAAAATCTCAGCTGGTCTGAATATATAGATGGTATTGTTAATAATGCTTATAAGAAATTGGGGTTATTGAAGAAGTTGAAATTTTCAATCGGTAGGAAAAATCTTTCTCTTTTGTATACAACATTTGTAAGACCTACACTTGAATATGCTTCAATTGTCTGGGATGGTTGCTCTTTATCTGATGTAGAAAAACTTGAAAAAGTACAATTAATGGCTGCTAGAATAGTTACTGGTCTTCCTATATTAGCTTCAAGAGAATCACTCTATTTTGAAACAGGATGGGTACCTTTGAAAAACCGTCGTTACCAATCTAAAATGATTACAATGTTCAAAATTAATAATTGTAATGTACCGGAATATATACAAGACATAGTCCCAAAGAAACGAGAACACACATCAAGATACAATACACGAAATAAGGATCAATTAACTATCCCAAGGGGCAGGTTAGAAATATTTAACAAATCTTTTGTACCTGATGCAGTTAAAAAATGGAATTTACTGAATAAAGATACAAGGGAAGCCATCTCAGTCAATTCTTTTCGTAAGAATATAAGTGATAATAATCCTAAAGCACCATCATATTTTTTGTTTGGTAAACGTATTACCAACATTATTCATACTAAATTAAGGCATAACTGTGTTTTGAACCAAGACTTATTCAAACGTAATATTATTGATAATCCCTACTGCTCTTGTGGTAAACACGAAGATGCCTATCATTTTTTCTTTGTTTGTAAAAAATACTGTAATGCTCGAAGTAATCTTTTTGACTATCTTTTTCGACCTGATTTAAACATCATAGATGTACACCTACTGCTATGGGGCAATGAAAATCTCTCAATCGAAGTAAACAGTGACATTTTTGCCGCTGTTCATAAATTTATAAATGAATCCTGTAGATTTAGCTAGATATATTTTTGAATCTTATTTGTACACGTTTTTGTTTCTATTTTGCATGACAATTATTATGTGTTTTTTAAGGAGAAGAACTAGTAAGTTGTTAGAACTTGTTTCTTATCCTTTTGCTTGACAATAAAATATGTTCAAAACAAAACAATATACATGTACGAATGTCCCAGATGGCGCACACTCATTATCTCCTTTGCATTCGTCCTACGAGAGGGACATCAGTCGCTTCCTAGGCATTGATGAATATACGTATGATTTGACAAATAACCAACTGTTCACAAATACTTCTGTATCGCACTTCTTTTTTTCAAATAAAAAATCGATCGCAAACAAGAGTTTCAGTTTGTAAAACTCCAACACTTGGAAAACCCTTCTTACTGCGATCGAATCAAAACAAGAAGTGACGTAGAATCTACATTTAGTGTCTCTTCTGATTGGTCGGTAAAATTACCCCCTATCGATCGCTCTAATATTGACATAGAATTGAAACGCGGATAAAAACGGATTGATTAACCAGCTAAAAGTACAAACTCAAAACTTCATTACATGAGTACATAAAAATCATTACATGAGTACATAAATGCTATTATTTACAATAATGCAGTTTAGAGATGCGTAATTTTTAATTTACAGGCAAAAGAAGCAGCATCTAGTGGTGACGTTTTAGAAGCGGAAGTTCAGTCTAAACGCGCGCGCCTATTTGTCATCATCTCTCTGGCAGTCGGGGTCGTGCTCTTTGTAATCATAATAATTGTACGCGTATCAAGCCCTAGCACGAATCAATACTAAAGTTTTAACCATTCCTGCCAGTGGCATGTAAACTCCGACATTTTTCTTTCCCAGAAACATTCTTAGCTAACACTTTTTTTTGTATAAGATACATCAAAAAACGTCTGTTTTGTTATATTTTTAATATAAACTTCTGAATTGTCAATGAACTTGTTTGTAAAATCAAAAAGTTTTTTTTACAAACTGATTTTACAATTAACTAGTAAGTAGATTTACCCTTTCATTTTTGTTGAAAAACAGTTTTCAGGTATGTGATATAGTCTGCACTTATTAAACGAAAAAGCCTAGAAATCTTACATGTAACATAGAGAAGGAATGCATGAAGTGTTCTCAATGTTTTACGTTAACATGCTATAATTGCTTTTGGTATTTTTGAGATTTCAATTTT